TCTCTTGCCTCCCAAGTAGCTAGGACTGCAGGCGCCCACCACAATACCTGGCTATTTTTTGTTGCAGTTGTCATTGTTCCCAGGCTGGGTTCAAACCTGCCAACTTTGGTATATGTGGCTGGTGCTGTATCCACTGTGCTATGGGTGCCGAGCCTTTTGTTTTGATTTTTGTACAGAAAAATCTAATGTAGCAAAATTTAACACTTCTCTTCTCTCAAAAGTGAAGTAGAGAGCTAACCAAATTCACTTACTATGTGTACAGTTTATTAAGCTGTGCTTTCTCAAACAGCTGTTTGCTTTGACCAGCAAATTACAAAGTAAAATATGTTAATCTTTTTATGTACATTTTTTCTGTGTATAAATTTTTTTCACATTGTGTTGGTTCTCGAATTAGGGCTAATTTGAATGAGCACTTTGGAAGTTCTATGACATTAATATTAGAAACTGGGGGCCGTTGGCACCTTTCAGTATGTACTAAGTATTCTATGCGGGGAGCAGCAGCTTGTTTCTTTCTCTGCAGTAGGGGCACCGAGGTCCAGGTTTGCTTCATGCCACATCCTGGGGACCTGACAGAGCCTCCAGCAGACATCACTGCCCTGTGTACAGTTCCAGGTACAGTGACCACTGATTGTGCATGTTGCAGATGGAAGAAGCTCATTTAACTGGCTGACAGGGAGCAGCCTTGACCTGCTGGCGGATCATGCAGCTTCCTCATCAGATTCCTTGTCCTCCTCCTTGCTATTTGCCCATAAGAGGAGTGAAAAGTCACAGCGAGCACCCTTGAAGACAGTGGGACCTGATTTTGGGAAAAAAAGGCTGAGCCTTCCAGGAGATGAGCTGAATAACAAAGTGAAAGGTCAGTGAGTGAAACAGGCTTGGAGTAACCTGCCCTCCCAGTTAGAGCCAAGGCTCAGATCAGGATAGCCCATTCTTGTGTCCGCATCTCCTGTAGCCTATAATGAAGCTTATTAAAGTTCAAATTCAGTAAATATTGTCAAGGCACTTACCAGGTTGAAAACATTGTTTTTTAGAAGTTCCAGAAAACCTATTGAAAAAGCTGTACTTAATCCATTCATTTGGTAATTTTCTGGGGTGGGTAAGGCCATTAAACTGGTGGTTGTGGGATGATGTTGGTTGGTTAGCCAAGTCTTAAAGGTGAGAGAGTTAATCCAGGCAGGTGGAGTGGAGAGAGCCTCAGAGGAGACCTGGTGAGGTGCTGTTGAGAGGAGTAGGGGGCAGGAGGGGAGAAGAGCAGGACAGATGCAGAGGAGCCCAGTCAATGCAGGGCATGGTCACTGAGAGCTGACCCCAAACCAGGATTGAGGACCCTGTGCAGTCCAGGGTTACAGATGCTGTGGGACATGTTACATAAAGGGTGCTAAGAAGACAGGCTGTGGGTGGTGGGATGTGCTTTGAGCCCCAGTGCTGAGAAGCAGCTGCATGATGTGTGCATGTATCCAGGCACAGAGCTCTGAATGGCCTTCCTAAGAGAGCAAGGGTCAAACCCAGCCGTGGCCAAAAAACAAACAAACAAAAATCCTAAGAGAGCAAGGGGTGTCAGGAGATGGAGGCCAAAAACACCTGACCAGTGGGACACTCAGGGGCTAAGTGGAAAGCTTGGTGGGACTCACAGACTCAGCACTGAGAACTGTAGCCCTGGAAGTGAGTGCAGATGAAGGAGTGCCCAGGGAAAAGGGCCCAAGTCAGAATCCTAGGGCAGTCCCAACATAGGAACTTAAATATTTGGAAGTGAAATTAGAAGGAAGGATAAATTTTTCTTTATTTAATTGTAGGAACTAAAAACACACAAAATGTTTTACTCCCAACTTGCAAACCTGTGGCCCACATCTTTCTCTAGAATTACCTGAGAGGTACATCTGGCTCCTGCTGCTCTGAGTAGAGGTGTGCCAGTGAGCCCCTCCCACCCTCCCCCACCAGCAGGCTACTTGCCTTTTATTCTCTTCCCCTTCATGCCTACGATGCACCAGGAGTGCAGAACCCCTGGTCCTGCCCATTGTCTCAGACTGTCACAGCTCTAAGTTCTGAAATGAAGGCCCGAGGTGCCCTCACCCTCCGTGGCCACTCAGCTATCTCACCTCATACCTGCTCCCAGCAAGCCCGAGGCACACAGCACTTTCCATGTGCTCTGAACTTTGAAGACTCACTAATGGGAGATGTACGTTCCCATTAGCTTTGAAGACTCACTGCAGGGTGTACCTGAACCACTGTGGGGTGACCTGCAGTCCAGGTGACTTCTGGCAATTGCTAGTTAGTGACTTTGGGCCAGTCGAGCTCTATTGAGGGGGATGAAGCTCATAAATAAATGAAGCTTGCTGGAGATGGTGGCAGTTACTGTCCACCATGCAGATTGTTCCACAGTATTTCCCTGCCGACATTTTTAGAGTAAAAATGTATCATGGATGCTGTCCAAAGAATTGGGAGACCATGTATAGAATTAAAGAAGGTAAGAGGTGAAACCTAATTTGAGACTCTTTTTCTTGAGAGTTTTATGTATAGATTTAGAAAAAAGAAAAATTGCAGAAGTAGGTAAAATGAATACTTATGGGCTGCCCATTTAAATTCATTTAACATATTTGAATCTGCCCATGTATCTCTATAGTTTTAAAATATTTTATATAGTCCTTTGTGGTACATGTACCTTCTCGCCTAAATGAGAACATGTGGAGGTTCATAAAAGATGGCCAGTAATACCTACTGTGATACTATTTATTACCACTGAAAGGAAATGCGGCTTAGAAAATTGAATTTGTAGGCTCCGTGCCTGTAGCTGAAGAGGCTAAGGTGCCAGCCACATACACCAGAGTTGGCGGGTTCAAATCCAGCCCGGGCCTGCCAAACAACAATGACAATTACAACCAAAAAATAGCTGGGCGTTGTGGCGGACGCCTGTAGTCCCAGCTACTTGGGAGGCTGAGGTAAGAGAATTGATTGAGCCTGGCAGTTGGAGGTCGCTATGAGCTGTGATGCCATAGCACTCTATCCAGGGCTCTGTCTCAAAAAAAGAAAACTGAATTTGTAGCTTAATTAAAATGACACTTTACAATCACTTAATTGTTTTGGTTTGCTTTAGTTATATCAGTTATACTACTGTGTATGCATGTAGTTTAAAGAGACAGATACTTGTTAGAAGAAATGGCAGTTCTCCGTATTTCTTAGATCCTAGAGACAAGACCAGCAGCTCCCTCAGCTGAGTTTCGGCATTTACTTCAGTATCTCCACATAATGCTTTTATGTGGCTGCTGTTTTTGCCTTTGCAGGGCAGACATTATGGGTCTGGCCCCCCACACATGGATCACACTGTACTGCTGGTGCCTCGTCCTGCTCAGCTAAGTCAAACTCGTGATCTCATTAGTGTTCAAAATTTTATCTTTTTTTGGCTACACAGGATTATTTTTGATTAAGCCACGTGAAATACTATGATTATTTTTAAGGATGTTTGCCCAGGGTCTCTGCTGAGCTGTCACCTAGGGACCCCTCTTCATCCTCCTCTCCTCAAGGACTGCTCAACTCCCCTGCCTTGGTGGTTTATTCCTTCTTTGGAGGAAGCCCTTCCTCTGCAGCGTGCAGAGAAAAGGAGTTCTACATGGTGAGCGTTACTTGGGTCCTGGGGCCATCACTGTGCTCTTCAGGGCCCAGAAGGCTGTGCAGATGGAGACCCCTGGTGCAGTCCTGTTGGTCTCCTGCCCAGAGATGCGAGTGAGGAACCTGCTGTCATCCTCTGTGCAAATCCTGTCTGAGAACCTGAGTCTTTTCTCTGTGGACACTCTTAGGGTCCTCCCTTTTTTGTTAAAATTATTTTTTATTAAATCATAACTTTGTACATTGATGGATTTATGAGGTTCAGGGTACTGCTTTGATATACAATGTGAAATTCTTACATTGAAGTAAGTAACAAATCCATCACAATTATACTCATTTCTTAATAGTTTTGAAATGTACCATTGCATCATGCACATTAGGTGAGTTCCCCCCAAATACCCTGTCTCCTCCCATATCCCCCCTCCACTCCCCTCTCTCTCCTCTTCCCTTCTACTTTATGCACTATAGTTATGCTTTGCCATTCATATGAGTGTATAGGTAGTTATATAATGATTTCATAGTAGTATTGAGTACGTTGGATGCTTACTTTCCCATTCTTGAGATATTTTACTAAGAAAAATGAGTTCCAGCTCCATCCAGGTAAACATAAAAGATGTGAAGTCTCCATCTTTTTTTATGTCTGCATAGTATTCCATGGTGTACATCATGTGTCCTCAAACTATGGCCCGCAGGCCACATGTGGCCCTCCTAGGACATTTATCCGGCCCGCCGGTTGTTTTTGTCACGTCTGCCTGTCCTGCTTAGCAGTCGACTGGTCCTGGGGCCCACAGTCTGGCCCTCCAATGGTCTGAAGGACAGTGAACTGGCCCCCTGTTAAAAAGTTTGAGGACCCCTGATGTACATGTACCATAATTTGTTAATCCATTCCTGGGTCAGTGGGCACTTGCACTGTTTCCATGACTTGGCTATTATGAATTGGGCTTCAGTAAACATTCTTGTGCAGATGTCTTTGTTGTAACTGGGTATATACCTAGTAGAGGAATTACAGGATTGAACGGTAGGTCTACTTTTAGTTCCTTGAGTGTTCTCCAAACTTTTTTCCGAAAAGGTCGTATTAGCTTGCATTCCCACCAGCAGTGTAGAAGCGATCCCTTCTCTATGTATCCATGCCAACATCTGAGTTTTGGGATTCTGTGATGTGAGCTAATCTTACTGGAGTTAGATGATATCTCAGAGTGGTTTTGATTTGCATTTCTCTGATGATTAAGGATGATGAGCATTTTTTTCATGTGTCTGTAGGCCATGCACCTTCTCCATCAGAGAAGTTTCTGTTCAAGTCTCTTGCCCACATAGAAACGGAATTATTTATTCTTTTCTTATTGATTAGTTTGAGTTCTCTGTAGATTCTAGTTATCAGACCTTTGTCAGAAGCATAACCTGCAAGAATCTTCTCCCATTCTAAAGGTTGTCTGTTTGCTTTACTTACTGTGCACTTGGCTGTGCAAAAGCTTTTCAGTTTGATCAGATCCAAGTAATGTATTTTTGGTGTTGCTTCAATTGCCTGGGGGGTCCTCCTCATAAAATATTCTCCCAAGCCAATTTCTTCAAGTGTTTTTTTTCCTGCACTCTCTTCTAGTATTTTTATAGTTTCATGTCTTAATTTTAAATCTTTTATCCAGTGAGAATCAATTTTTGTTAATGGTGAAAGATGGGGGTCCAGTTTCAGTCTTCTAACAGGTCACCAGCCAGTTCACCCAGCACCATTTGTTAAATAGGGAGTCTTTCCCCCACTGAATATTTTTGATAGGCTTGTCGAAGATCAAATGGCGATAAGAATCTGGGTTAATCTCTTGGTTCTCTATTCTTTTCCATAAATCTACTGCTGTTTTTTTTGCCAGTACCATGCTGTTTTGATCACTATAGATTTATAGTATAGCCTGAAGTCTGTTAATGTGATACCTCCTGATTTATTCTTATTTCTGCATAATGTATTTGCTATTTGTGGTTTTTTTGGATTCCATATAAAACAGTACTATTTTTTCAAGTTCTTTGAAGTATGACTATGGTGCGTTAGTAGGGATTGCATTAAGTCTGTATATTGCTTTGGGTAGTATGGACATTTTAACAATGTTGATCCTTCCTAGCCATGAGCATGGTATGTTTTTCCATTTGTTAACGTCTTCAGCTATTCCTTTTCTCAGAGTTTCATAGTTCTCCTTATAGAGATCTTTCATGTCCTTTGTTAGGTAAATTCCCAGATATTTCATCTTCTTTGGCACTATTGTAAAAGAAAGT